TTGTCGTTGACGTCCTTTTAGAGATGACACTTTCCTCATCTAAATTTCTAGGAGTTGAACTTCTACCGGGAGATCCACTTGTTGACTTAGAATATGCCGATGACATAGTTCTATTTGGTGAAGACGCTGACAAAATGCAGAGTCTGCTGACCACCGTAAGCAACAATGCAAGCATGTTCGAGATGCGACTCTCCCCCTCGAAATGCAAAATGTTGGTTCAGGATTGGGTTGCATCGGCACCCGAACTAGTGATAGGTAGTGAAGTAGTTGAGCGTGTCGACCGCTTCACTTATCTGGGAAGTTTCACCAGCCCTTGTGGTCTGGTATGTGACGAAATCTCAGCACGGATACAGAAGGCTCGACTAGCTTTTGCCAACTTGCATCATTTGTGGCGTAGGCGAGATATCCGTGTTTAGTGCGCAGCAGTTCGTTCCGTCCTACTTTATGGCAGTGAAACATGGCCGGCAAGAGTAGAGAATATTCATAGGTTACTAGTATTCGACCATAGATGTCTTCGAAACACGGCTAATAGCGAAGTGATCTATTTGAGACCATTATTTAGTTGATTGTCAAGGTTACCACGTAGACGATGATTCGTTCTATGCTTAAAGTTGATGCTTGCTAGAAATAGACAGTTATCCAAGCGTGGTTGCAACAGACGGTCACCACTGTTTGTTCACTGAACCGCTAAACGGTAAGATCCGCCAAAGTGATTTTCCGTTTGTTTTAGCTTACCTTCTTGAGCATTAAAACCACTTGCCGCCAATACATCAGAGTTTAGCTTTTTGAAGGAGATTGGACAACTTATAAAATTCATCCTTAACTTTATTCGAGCTGCAATCAGTGGGAGCGCAGACATAGTATTATTTATTTATTTTAACACATAGGTATTGGTACAAGGAGGCACCAAGTACATATGCGCCACACGAATCTCAATTGATTTGTGTGAGAGCTGTGATACTGCCCGGGTGCCCAAACCGAAGCAGGAGCGTAGGCATAGACAGTGAAAACGTAACGTTGTGTTTCTGTCTTTTTGAGTTCTTATTGTCCCGCTTCGTAGGATACAGTACAGGCGATTGTCTATTGGAATCCAGTTTGACAGCCTGCTTTGCTTTAGAACTTAATGTTATACATACACCAGAGGTTGCGGAAGTAGCAGTGGGGTTTCCAAATATTCGGAGGGTGAATTGTGCCGTATATTTATATCTACAAAGTGAGGTCAAGCGAATAACCCTACTTAGAATCTATATGCGTGTTTCGGATACGCAGCATGCATTCATAGCGTGTGATTTCAAAGTCCTAGCTAAAGAACTGTGTGTTCCTATCTGACACAAGGTTTGAACATTAAGAACTCCAACATGCAGTTTACAGAGTTGATTCACAAGACCAGGAATAAAATTTTGCGGACTCGAATTAGCATCGATGGTGCGTGATAAAAATAAGTGAGAAGGGTTAGTCATAGGGACGATAGGATAATTAAGAGGTGATGGAGGGATTCCATAGTCAGCAAGGTGGTTTCAGGTGCTGATAAAGGTATGAAAACGGTTGTCACTTCAGGGTTTCCCACATCCAGGAAGGCTATTTCTTCTCGAGTAACCTGGGGGAAAGGCTTTATTAGTGGTAGTCTTAGCATTCTGGGAGCGCGATTACCGAGCCCAAAGGATAGTTACTTGAGGTCAATCGCTTATGGCCCTTTTATGAGAAGTTTTGATGTCACCTCTGCACTCCTAAAAACCTTACAGCCGAATATGGAAAACCGCGGGGTAAGGTGAGGTGTGACACTTGTTGTCAACCTTTTCTAACCCCTTCCTCCCATCTTGATAAGGTGACATCATTGCAGATGCTGATTGTCCGAGGCAAACACCTTACCAAAGTCAGTAGTATGATTTCGCCTTTGAATCTTAAGTTGCTGCTTTTAGTCTTACTGTTTTCCAACCGACCTGCTTGGCATGGTACGACCTAGAGGAGCATGTATTTCCACCCAATATAGCTCTGTTAAGGCAAGCCCGACCACCATATCAAGATAACAGCCACGGTCGGGAATATTCTTCACTACACTTCCGATTTCGCGCAAAATCCGAGAGATATCGTAACCCTGATCACCTCACTCAAGATCATCAGTATAGTGTACTGGAAACTACAAAACTATGCAAATAGCCCATCAAGTACAATTTTATGTTATAGTTTCAAACCACACTTTTTATGTTTGGGCTAGAGATATTATTCGGCCACACAAACCGAAGTAGAGAGTAATTCAAACCTAATTAAGTACTTTTGATGCTTATTTTGGAATGTGAAAAAATTAAACTAATAAATGTTATGGTGGATAGCTCTGAATGAAATTAGGGAGTTTATTCACAAGCTCTGACCTGAATAAGTTTTAGTTTAAATGAATAGTTAGAATGTTTTTTTATTGTGGGACTGCTACGAAGAATAGATAGCTGTAATTAAATACAAACATACTTGGACGGTGGTGATCGTATTGTCCCGAAAGCTAACGAATAGTAGGGGCTTGATCGAGACAACCAACGTATGATTTAAAACATCTAACTTTTTTCTGGTTTTTAATCTTTTGTACTATGGAGTAACCAAGAAAGATGACCTAAATAACCATCTTACTTAAACTGATATGGCTATTGAAAAAAGGTCTGTGTGCTTTCCAATAAGTTAGAACTGACTTTTTTTGTCAAAAGCGGCATTGATGACTTGTTAAGTAACATCTGGACGCGAGCACAGTTCACATAACCCAGTAACTAACTACATTTTCGTTTACTTTGACCCGAACCAGATTATGATAGCAATTTATAACATTCGTCCCTCAAAATAGGTAAGTGAAACGGTCAGTCAACAACTTAATGTCGGACTATTTTGAAAAGTTAATAGGGTTTTCCAATTGCGGCAACTTATCCGAGTTATACTGGATAAAACATCCGTTTATTGACAGGCAAACTAAATGTATTATTCGTAGTATGACATAGTAGCCGTACTTCTAAGAGCACCAGGGGGTTAGGGTAGTACGGAGTAACCACCATTCTCAACATTGTCTTAACAGAGTGGCATAAATTATTTGAAGCATATACCATTGACTGTTTGTCGATATTAATAACATGGGTCAACTGCTGTGGAAAATGCAAGTCTATAAACGAAAATTCAGGCAAGCACATAATGAGGTCATACTGCGTATTTATCTGTAGTAGTCTTTAATGTAAATAATGTTTTATGATATACTGCAGTTGCAAAATAAAAACAGATGTGCACTGGTGTTCGGAGTTAGCTCAAGTTATTCTAAATTACCAAAAGCCCCCAAATGCCCTGGTACGGCCGAGAGTGGGGAGAGTCCGCTCTCCCTCTCGAAATGCTCTCACATGGCCATGCGTATATAGCCTCTGCCAGGGAAGTCCTACTCACTGCCTTCTCGTGGCGGGGGTGTTGTTTACAAAAATGAGAGGACGAAAAGCGAATGTCCGGCGCTTTAACCGGACCCCAAACCAATGGTGCACATGGGCTCCAGTATCCTGAAGGAACAAATGGCGTATGAACCAATCGTTGGTCACCGGCTACCATGGGACTGCATCTCCTCACGATGCTCCACTGCCTTGTGGGTCAGACGTTCAGGTCGAAGGCTCGGGGTGTGGCCCCCTAAGAAAACCACCTGCTTCGGTTTGGGCACCCGAGCAGTATCACAGCCCTCACACAAATCAATTGAGATTTGTGTGGCGCATATGTATTTGGTGCCTCCCTGTACCTATACTTATGTGTTAAAATAAATAAATAAATAAATAATAAATTACCAAAAACACAAGCAGTGAAAAAAGCACCTAGAAGGACTTTAAATCCACTACGATTATGATTAGTAAAGTTCCAGCTTGAGACTAATGGGCTATTAACCGATAACACTAAGTTGATATAAGCAATGAATCCAGAGTAAAAGTTTATTAGAAAAGGAGAGTTGTTGTGGTTCAAAATGAGTACTTAAGTATTTCGATAAGAAATTAACTGGACACTATATGGACACGAATAGTAATAAGTAACTAAAAACAAGAATTTAGACCTACGGAATTCCAAGTTTAGGGCGTGGTGTTTAAGGGGGGGATAGTATCAAATTAAGGAAGTGTTACTTTGTTTATAGTTATTTACTTCGGTTATCCGAAAAACAAGCTAGGCAAATTTTCGCTCATCACAGCATTCACGAAATATTGGAACCTCTAGTCTAGACAACGTGGTTACAATCTTTAATTTTTACTTCAACCAAGTATGAATATAGTTAGATGGATGTACACGGTCAATGTATTGTTGGTTAGAAATTACGTACATGAAACGAAATCAAGTGATAAAACTAGTATTACATCGATTTGGTGTAGTATTTGCGAAGTAAGGAGTAGAGACAACCAGGAAAATATTCATAACACTGTTCGGTAAGGTTCTCTTGGGTATAATTAGAACATTTATTCACACATCTAACACTTAATTCACAATTTTGCTCATAATAAATTACATGTTTATCACAGAGTGGTCGAGAAGCTGACCAAATAAGGCAGTCGCCTGAGCTACCACAGTAAACAAATAGTAACGAAAATAAAGACACCACTGCATCTTAGAAACTCGCAATGGGATGACGCAACCCCAGGTAGTGACGGAAGGATAAGTTAATTAAGGTTAACATACACACTGGTGCCAGGATGAGTAAACATGCAAGAGGGTCATTATTGGATTCTTCGCAATTAACGGAAGTATTGTAATTAGTGCTCACGATTGAGGACCAAAAACATTTATCTTAAAAAACGAAACATATTAAGTGTTCTGACTACAGCCGCGGATTAAGGAGATTCAGACAACTCTAATATGTGCACACTCCAGCTTATCATGTATGTCATGAAAGGAATTTCCACTCCTAAAGTATTACTAGTTGATTGTAACAGTTAAAAACGGTTGACATTGTCCTACAATGTGCATTATATAGTCAGCCTCGAACAATACCTTAGTTAGAAATGCTTACTTACCTCATCTACAACAGTATTCTCATTATAATCGTAAGACATAATACGACAAAACTTCACACGCGATAACAAGAAGAATCAGCGACCTAATTCATGAACACTAAAACAAGTCCCGCCCAATTGTTTCAATACCCTATAGACCGACGATACTGTTCAGTCTTCAGTAGTAAAGATAGGTCAATCGACTTATGTTAATCCATAAAATTTGTACTACTATGAAGAACTAATCCCGCTCTTCATCTGTCAACAGAATGTGCTGATATTATGTGTTCCGTTAGAGAATTGCAGTAATTCACTACTCAGTGATAGAAACTGAACACGAGGTGTAAGCGATTTGATCTCAAATTTTAAAGTTTCTTAGAATGTCCTCTCAGATGATCAGTCCCTGGTGGAAGAAAAATATAAGATAGGATAATACCAAAATCGTCATCGTATTACATTACCCGTAACCTGCCGTAAGATAACAGAAATAAGTTGAGGTGTCTTAGTCTGTCTTCATATAATAGACCAGAGAGACCGTTCTCAATTTTAATCCCTCGTCGCTGAACTCGTTCTGGAATATCTGCCTCCTATCTCAAACAAGGACTCGCTTTTTGAATCCAGAGGTTTTACAAACGTTCGTTTTTAGTAAAGTACAGGAATTTCCCGACCTCCTGAGCTCCTGTGGATTTTTCTTAGTTGCTATTATAGTCCACCTAATTCGACAGATTAAGTTGTGTTGGGCATTTTGTAACACTGGAACTGTACTTGACTTTAACCACACAAACTTCGAACCTGGATGAATACTACATCAGGCGATTTATACGACGTTTATATCTGATGCGAAACGGTGGAGGTCAATAAATGCTGACTCTAGAACACTATCAGGACTGGGTGACTCGGTAATTTCAGTGCATCCAGTCTGTGAAATTCTCTCGTCTTCATATTACCTATAATATTTTCTCGGTATGTTAGAGTTTGCTTCCTAAAGGCTTTTGATAAACACTACTCACATGTATAATGATGAAGCGAATAAACACAGAAGCCACCACATCATTGAGAGTCAACTATAATATATGATGTCTGTTAGTCAAATATCGTCAGATAAACTCACTAGTACTGAACTCAAACAAATCCAACAGATTTTGACTAAAAAAGATTCTGAAATTATTACTTGGAAATATTGACGATAAATAATTTGCATTAGAAGATAACAATAACGTGTGGATCGTCTTGTGGAGATAGGTCTGTCAAACTTATTTTGTAAATAATTTTTAATGTTATTTGTATTCATTTTGTCAACCTTTCACTGTGTGTACATTTATTATTAAATCATTGTACCTGTTGATTTAGTAAATGACCTTGATCACTTTTTCTGTTGTGATACTAACATAGCTTGACACTTTTTGTGGTCGTTTCCAAAATACACTACTACACACACACCTCTCGTTCTAAATTCACTCGCATTTGTGTTAACTGAAGTCTGAATCAAGTACCATTTATCTTTACAGACGATAATTGGAATATACTATATTTACTACTGAATCCGATCATTGGGGAACCTATCACACTCACAGGAATTATTAATCATCTATAATTGTGGATATTTAACACCAGATCAATTTGAAACACTCACTCTCCTGGTAAACTAAGTAACGTTCCTTATTTCTATTGTGTTTATGACATTGAACTTATATCTTTAAACATTGCTATTTGTTAATAATGACTCTATCATTACCGTTTGGATTAATATATTGTCTGGTCCACCATAATCTCTGACATCTGAGAGTATACTACTATATAATTCTCAAAATAGGAACAAAATGTCAGGGCTGGTTCTTTTATTTATATAGTTTCTACTTGATATCGACGAATGCATTAGATGCATATGGTAAACATACATGTGAACTGTAGTCATGTAGTTAGGTAAAATCATGGTCCAAGTGAACCTATAGATACAATAACGCAACTTGATTTTTCTAGCGTATTTCAACGTTTTCAGTCACATTTGAATGGAACGTGAAACTGGTTGGCGTGGTAACGTGACACAGATATGAATAGCACCATAAACTTCAAGTGTTTTAAGAAAATGAGTCACATGCGTCAGGTCTGTCTGTGATATTCTTCTAACGATTTGCCAATGTGAATTCGTCCTCTCACCATTAGACTGTTAGCTCTTCGAGTTACGTTATTAAACAAGTATACTGTAGTCATCTGATTCTGTTTAATTAAGATTAAAAGGTTATTGAGTAATATTGTTTTAACATTCTATTTGTTAAACTAGGCTGATTCGTAGATTTATTTGACTACACTGTATATTAAAACTATTATTAAAGCTGTATCGTGTTATGTCTGGCATTATTTGAACTCTCGTTATTCAGGTACTTTAAAGCCTTAGTTGAGACACATTTAAGGTAATTATGGTAAGAGATCCTCTGCACAGGATCGTCGAGTGGCCAGTTATTCTGGAACACATTGCACATATCAAAAGTCTCGTTAAGACTGATAACCAAATACAGATGAATAAACGAAAATCAAAGAAGTATCCATAAAACCGAAGGTCCGAAAAACGGTTTTTCAATAGCTTCGGAAGTTATTTATGTGGTTAGTCGCTTGAAATTCAACTAACTTCCTACTAACATATTAGGACTCGGTGTTTTCTGATCAGTTTCTCCTGCCTACTTTTCATTTGTCTTACAGCTCGGCGATACTCGGAGGATTCATATTATTCATTTGGAAGATTCCTGGGCGCGATTGCTTCCAGCATGTTTGGAACCGATTCAAACGGCCGTTAAATCTGGTGTTGCTTTATTGTAAGGCCGCTGAAATATCACTGAGCCACAGCCGAACGATCCAACAGTTAAGTCACTGAATATCGAACAGATCATCGGCCATCGTCAAGGTCAAGGACAACCAACGCGAATCGGCCAGATGTATGCTATGTTGTGGTGGTCTTACTATCTTCTCCGTACTCATTCTTGTTAATATATTACCGTAGTAACATCATTTATTTTGTACGGTCTTCAAGGCATCTATAGTACCCTTGTTTTTACGAACGGGCAGTCCACATGATGGTGAACTACCTATTCGAACGATATATGAAATTATTGTCTTACAAGTGAAATTTTTTAAATAAGGTATCAGTAACGTAAATTATACTTGGTAGGGAAGATGAAAGGGAAGGAAATGCGTACAGATTATGATCAAGCGCTAAGGTTAACCCAATTAACAAACCAACTGTAAGTGTAGGCCTCTTGTGACCTTAAGACATTGTGTTAAACTGTCAAACTTCCAGTTATTAGTCTTGTTGAGCAGGTATGAATTTAGCAGATAATATAGATAGGGTTCTGTTATGTTTCTAACCCTACAAAGTCAGTGACAAATTTATGAAGCTGGAATTGTACCTCTCAGTTAAGACATTATAGTTGAAACCATCACATTTTTTGGTGCTCAGTTTTACCACTACTGGTCAGTTTAATTAAACAAATAAATTTAATATTTTTATTCAATAAGGCTTTCAGCAAATTTTTAAATTTCAAATACAATCCAAACTATAGCAACAACGGGGTCAGATTATGATAATTAGGAGTACTTGAATTATAGTATGAACTAAGAATCCCAGGGATAACGCAATTGAATCAAGAAGTACTACACAAGCACTAATGAATGTACTGTATTTAGAATTCGAAATCAGGCATTCAACAAGTACAAAGCAATCATTAGTTCATTCAAACACCAAAATCGCCACAGCTTAAATTAGAGTCCAGGTGTCTGTAATCGATTGCACGTCTTCTTCTTAAGTTCATCCTGTGTCTATCCAACAGTGTATTGGATAAAGACTGTGTATTATCTAGGATGCACTCATTAGTATTAGAATTAACAACGGAAATCGGAACAGACTCACTTGATTTCTGGGATTGTGAACAATCACCATGCCGGTTGAATACTGAAACTACTACCTAGGATATGAACCATAGACTATCCTCCCCCACGAAATAATGTCGGATCTTGATATCTCCAAGTTATGAATAATGTGGCTTGATTTAAGACATCTTTCTCACATTGATCAGAGTAAACGTTAGAAGTAAATTTATGATAAGGACAAACAACAGTTGATATGGAATTATCTGAATTGTAGTCAAACTCTAGCTCATTTAATACTCGTGCTTCGCATCGAACAAGTTTCTCAAAAGAAACAAATGCATCATGAGGACAAATAATATTTGATATGACATCAAGATTTGATTCTTCTGAAATAGTTTCCTCAAATTTATTAAGAATGTCATTGCAGAGTAAAGGATGATTAGAAAAATCAGCATCAATTAAAACTACATCAGTTTTTCGATCATGATTGGATTCATCCGAAATATTCTCATCAGATTTGTAAGAAATTTCATCAGAAATATGTGAATCATTAGGAAAAATCATATCTGGTACAATAACATGAGAAATTTGATATGTTGATTCATTAGAAATTGTTTTCTCGCAAGGATTCTGAGTTTCATTTAACTCTGAACTGCTACATGACTCTAAAGTGTCTTTTGAAATCGTTGATAAAGATAAATGATCATTATAAATATTTAAATTAATAGAATCAGAATCACAAGACTTGATATTAGTTGCAGCAAGATAACAGTAGTATTACAAACTGACTGAATATGTCCGACACCACCACATTTAAAGCACTTACATGAATTTACATGAATTAAAAGAGTGGAACCTGCCACAAGAAAAACATTTACTAAACTTGTGCCCATCTTCGTGAAGTTCACAACCTTGAGTAATTCACTGGGATGGGGTGACGTAATGTAGTGGAATTTTTTATATCCTCATGAATTTTTTTACGAAATCTCCTTTTATCGCATTTGAAATTTGTATACTTTGCATAGTCCAGAAGTATTTCCTTGAGAGTTGTATAAGGAAGAGAAATGGTCTTTTCCGGTAAAGCGAAAACTTTTAATAAGCCATATTCTTCTTTTCCAATGAATGTGAGAAAATGTGCCACAATAATAATATCCTCATCATCTTTCTTGGTCATGCTCCAGATTTCAAACCTTTCCAAATAGTCCTCAAAAGCTTCAGAAGTTGAATGAATATCTAACTGTTCCATCGCAGGCTCCATCGCGACGCCAATAT